AAGGCGATCATGCCATATTTGAAAATCGGTAGTCTTTTGAGCTACTTTGAGGTGTGTTTCAACAACACCTAATCTGACATCATACAAACCAGTAGAGAGTTAGATAATCTCTCAATGATGCATTTCTTTTTATCAATGGTATTGGTGATCAATAAAAATTCACCATCGGTATCACTTATGGTTTCAATGTGATAATAATTTTTCCAAATGTCATGAAAGTTCAGTATATTTCTTCGGGCTTTAATGGCTAACAATGCATATTGTATCACAATTTTTGTCCCTGCGGGAAGAAATATAATGGCTTCTCCAGATCCTTCAATTAATTTTGTATTGCCACTTATTGTATTGATATTCATCTTTTATCTTTTCAAATGGGAAAAATACTTTTCATATTTCAATATAGTTTGTGTTGTTGCACTGCCAATAAAACACATATTTGCATCATTTTGATTGGTACCCATTTAACCTTCATGTATAAATAAACTAGTATTAATAAAAGCAAATATAAATATTACAAATGCATTACAAAAAGGTATTTGCGATAATTTAAAGATTGCAAAATATAAAATGACATAATATGTATGTCACTAGGAATTTGCTGGATCTATGATCCGCTATATCAAGATGCATTATGTCGTAATTCAAAAGATCATCATCGGAGTTATCATCATTATCAACGTGATTAGTCTCGGTTTCCTTCATCTTCTTCTACAGTGAAGCTTGATAAAGATCAGTTAGGTGTTTGTTTGTTCTGCAGGTATCGGCCAATGGTCTTTAATGTCACACCGATGACAAATATTGTTTTGTTTCTTTCCCTATTTAACCTTTTCGGCTACATCCTATAATGGGGTTTACTCTCCTTTTTGTTAATGTCAAAACTGTGGTGATTGTTAAGGGTATATCGTCCGTGTTGACTCTCACGACCGTGACCATGTCCATGGCCTTTACCACATCCTCGGCCTCGTTTAGAAAATGTCACGTTCACTTCAGGGAACAAACTGGAACTAGTGGGCCGGGACTGATAAATTTTCATCAGTAACTCATTATTTTGCTCAGCTAATAAAAGATATGCAATTAGCTGTGAGCATATCTCAAAGTTTTTCTCACGATACTGTTGTTGCAGTACAACATTAGAACCATGAAATGTAGAGAGAGTCTTCTCCAACTTATCATTCTCAGTTACATTTTTTTTCGAGAGTTTTAACTAAGATGTAATATGATGGATAATAGATTTATACTCTGTATAGTTTAAAAATCCTGCAAATGCAGGTTAGATCAATCATGTCAGGCTTTCGAGAGAGTGATATATTTCAAGTGCGCAAATCTCTCCCTTAATTCATTCGACAAATCGAGTGGATCTTTCACCGTCAGATATTTTTACTGTAAAGCAATGTCCAAATTGTGACGAATGAATGAAAATAATAGTATTAGCCCGATCTTGGCTTGTAGCCGTATTTTCACTGACAATTATATGAATAAAGCCCATAGAAACAAGATGCAATTATATATTCAGAGACCAATTCAGAAAATTATTGCCGGTGGAACTCAAAGGTTTAAAAGAAAATTTTGCAAAATTTTTCATAGTATAGAAAATATATAATTATAGATAGTACGGAAATAAAACTTACCAAAAATAAACTAGGCAAGAACTTTCGTGTTGATAACGTGTTATATAATAAATAATATATAAGATAAGTATATATATACGGCTATTGTGTGTTTGATGTTTAATATATATTACAAACTAAAGATGTTAGAGAGAGAGCATTGGCAGAATCAGAACCATTCGGTTAGAGGGATTGGAGACTAAAATTAAAAAATATATATAGTATAAAATTTTTAATTTAAAAAAATTAATTAAAATATTTTTTAAACATGAATATATATTAGAAAATGTAGAAATTTACAAAAAAAAAAAAAAAAATTAAAGGTAATATTTTTTTTAATATTTATACAAATAAAAAACAAGAGAAGAGTTTAGTACACTTAAAAAAAAAAAATAAAATAAACTACTTCAATTACTGCCGAACAAAATATTTTTCTTATAAAACAAACTAATCTTAACTAAATATGTATAAACAATATTGTCACTGTGAAGGAAAAAAAAAAAATCAATCCCACCAATAGATTCCAACTTTAGCCAAAATAAAATTCAAATCCAATTATTGCCTTTGAACCAACACAATATATTATTTAGGGGTGTTTGACAAATAGCTTTTGAAGAGCTTTTAGCTTATTGAACAGCTTTTAGCTCTTTGATTAGTCAAAAAGCTAATTTAGGTGTTTGGTAAATTAGCTTTTTGGAATAGCTTTTTGGACTCAAAAAGCTAATTTCTGAAAAGCTAACTTATCCAGCGTTTTGAAATAGCTTATGTAAAAAATTTTTTATTCTTTATATGCCCTTAAAAATTTATTATGCATTTTACACAAATAAATATATTTTGATTATTTATTAATTATATTATAATATTTTATTATATTATAATTTTACTTTTATAAATTTAAAATAATTAATTTTTATATAAAAATTATTTTAATTATAAAATATATAAATTTATTAAAATCAACATAAAATAGAAAATATAAATATTAATAATTTATTTTTATATTAAAATTATATTATATAAATTTTATACTAAAAATAAATTAAATAAATTAAATTTATTGAAAATTATAAATATAATGAACTACTCGATAACTAACATAATAAATATATATATACGAAAAATTTATTATTTTATATTTTACATCATTTTCAATAGAAAAACTATTTATATATTTTAATAAAAATATATTATTTTTTAAATCTAACTGTAATAAAAATAAATACTTTTATAACATTTTTACAATTTTCAATAACTAATAACAAAAAATTTTAAATATTCTAAACTCAAAATAACATAATTGAATATATTAGAAACAAAAATAAAATAGAAATGTCCTCAATTGTCATTTTACGTATGAACAGCTAATATCAATCAGTTGTTTTACCAAACATTTTAATACAAACAGCTAATCGAATCAGCTAATCAAACCAGCTAATTGAATCAGCTATCAGCTAATTATTGAATCAGCTAACGGCTAACAACTATCAGCTAATTGCCAAACACGCCCTTAGTTAACTAAACAAAAAAATAGACTATAAAAGATGTTTATATTATTATTATTTACCTTAGAGATGTCGCGATAGTTGTATTATTCGAATAGCTATATTTCGAAACATTTAGGAGCTTTAGAATAAATCTTTCCATTTTATTTTTCCCAAATAAAAACAAAATATTTGAATAAAACTATTTAACTAAAATCACAAATTAACTTCAACTAACTAAAAAAAAAAAAAAAAAACCTAAATTAGATTTCCTAAATTATCTTTATTACAAAAATTTCACCAAATAAAATTAAACTAAAAAACAAAAATAAAAACAAAGTTTACTAAAAATTCTCACGAATAAAATTAGAAAAAATTAATCTATAAATTATAGCTCCTAACTGTATTAAATTAAAAAAAATTTATAAATCTCAAAATAAGAAAATTAAGAACAAATATATAAATAGCAATTATCAAGAACATAATAAAAATAATAATAATAAAAAAAATAAAAGAAAAAATAAATTTTAAACACTTACATACATAATACATACTCAATCCACTCCAATAATAACTGAGACGAGTAGCTGTTGACGACTCGAAATTGGCACGGCAGCATATAGGACAACACGGGTAGCACCGCACAAATAAACAAGACAGACAGAAGCGATTTTACCCTAAATTGTATCCCAATTTTTATTCCAATTTTTATTTTATTAAAATTATGAATATATTAGATTATGAACAATCAAGATTTATTATAAGCTCAAAAAAAATATAAGAAAATATTACAAGCTCACAACTTATTATTCAAATCCAATTTGGAATAGGCTTAATTGTGCACGGCAAGCGACCAACGGGTAAGATTTCACCGCAGTTGGGGGATTTGAGACTGAATAATAACAAAATCGAGGGATTGAAAGGTTAGAGTGGACACGTTGTACTACTCATAAGGGTTTGTTCATTGGCTCGGGAGTTTGTTCGTTGGCTCGGGGGTTCCAGGCTCCTCGAGCCCCTTACTCCCTCCGCCACTAAAAGAGAGAATTAACAGAGTGAGAAAGGTCGGAAGTTTGTTCGTTGGCTCGGGGTTTCAGGCTCCCGAGCCCCTCACTCCCTCCACCACTGAAAGAGAGAATTAAGAGAGTGAGAAAGGTGTGAAAAAGTGAATTAGAATTGATCTTTTATCACATTTAATGTCTTCTATATACATAAACTTTCATATATATATATATATAGAAATTTTTGACCAATAGAAACATCCCCATCCAACATTAGTGATTTCATAGGCATGATGTATATTTTTTACAAAATGCTACCCAGTATATGGGTGTCTTAACAATTGTATAATTTACTTCCTCTTTTTTATTTCTTGCATTCATTTATACATTTTTTCATCAAAATTATTTTAAAATATATGTTCTAAAATTTTGCATGCTTGCTGAGAAAATTATGCACAGTTTTTTATTTTCCAGGGAAATAATAGGAATTACATACATAGTAATTAACAAAAAAAAGTAAAAAAGTTACAAAAATATATGATCTATAAAAATATATATTCATAAGTGTGCAAATTTTAAATTCAACACACAAAGTCCAATCCATATTATAAAAATTGATTAATGCAGCAAAACAAACAAAGTCAAGAACATCAGTTCCATTTATGTCATCATTGAATATGATAATACAGGTATTTTAATTATGCAGTTAAACAACGCAAAAATCTATTGAATAACATAACAAAATCTATCTAATCACGTGGAAAATAATTCAAATAGCTTAAGAGAAATTTATAGTGCTAAATATTCCGGTTCACCCCAATAAATAAATAATCTGTATAGTGAAGCAACTTTCAGATTCCATTCCTTGTGACCTATATAGAAGAAGAAAAGAAGAAGAAATGCAAAGAAACTACTCAACCAAACAGCTACCAATTTCTCTATTTATCTAATCTATCTATAGAGGTTGTAGAGTTGCGCTCATACCATAACATATTGTAGCATCTCGATCCGTAAAACTATTCGACCAGCCAAACACCAACACATCTGTAATAGGAATCAATTTACTTAAGATCAAAAGATGGAGGAATATTCGGGGCTGATTCAGGGGGTCCTCTAGCAATAGGCATTTCACCACCTCGTCGTCGCCTCTGTCCAGGCTTTGCATAGTCGATAAAGATAGCCCGTCCATCGAGTGGCTGCAGAAATTGCGTTAGAAGTTAGTGTGTATTGAGGTAGAGATGGGAATAGGAAAAGGCCACACACCTTTCCATTCATTTCTTCCATTGCTTTCTCAGCTTCATCCTTGGATGAAAAAGTGACGAATCCAAAACCCCTTGATCGTTTGGATTCTTTATTCGTCACTACATTAGCTGCCAGATGATGATTATTACAACCCGCATATCTCAAATGGCGCCGGATTCGATTACAAAGGAAAAGGAGGAAGAAAAAAGTGAATTGATGATGCACCTTCGATGACTTGGCCGTATTCAGAAAATGCCTCTGACAATCTCTGTTCTGTGGTAGAAAACGAAAGCCCTGCAAAAGTTCATTTTTGACAGGAATGACAATAATATCATATTCGAATTGCAATGCTGAATCCAAAACAAGAATGATCAGGTGAACTACCATATGAAAATTCAATAATGATAGTAATTTCCATTGTAAGATAAGCCTAAACATACATCATCCAACAACTTGACAGGCATAAAGCAGCAAAAGTACACAACTTCGAGTAATACATATCGTGCAGGTAATTGATCAGCCTTGGACAGTAAGTATCATTTTTTAGGGCGGCAAAAGTACTCATAACCAAACTGTGGTTTGGAACCTTTGCACCATTTTCTCTCATGATTAGAAACCGCAAGAATCACTCTTGTGTTTTAGAAGACATTTCACAGAATCTCTTTCTTAGGAGTTTAGTCTTGCTCAATATTTAAGAGATTCTGTGCAATATTTTCTAAAATCCAAGAGTCTTATGCAATTTTTAAATCACAAAGGAGAAAGATGCAGACTTTCCAAACCACGAGTGAATTATAAACAAATTTGTCTATTTAGGGCACCTTAAAAAATCTCCTCTCATATTCATCCTCACAGAAAGTATGCTGCAAAGACGAACCACCACAGTACATATGGTTAATTATTACATCTGAAAGCTTTAAATCGTGTTAGGCATTGCTGTAATTGATCCATGATTCTATCGAACATGTGCAGATAAATAAACATTTTCCGGGATATTGTGATTTTTAATCTTGTTCTAATATTGTCCACCTTAAAAAGTATTCACCTTACTCACTCAAAATAATACGTCGAACAATTATATGTTATTCAACAGATGATTAATGAAACTTCTTCCAATTAAAATTCTTCAGATTCAAATCATTCAAGAAACACACAGATCACTCCAAAACACAAACATATACCCAATCCAGTAACCTGCACTTCCATACAATGAGGTTTGTTTACTTTGCAATGTTCGATTTACCAATTTTATTTAATTTTTTTTTTTAAGAAAAAACATCACCACATTCATGACCCATTTTGGAAATTCAAAATGTATTGAACAACTATAAAGAAGACACTGGAACACAAAGATACCAAAAGTAGCAGAGTAATCATATCCTATCTGCGTAAGTTTTTATTTTTTCAACGATGTGATCTATCCAAATCCTCTTAGTCATAGAGGATGAAATTCGTTCTAGTGAGAAATTCGTTAATCAGAAACGGAAAAACATAATCATATAAAAACGATTATCCGCAAATTGCAGGGATTCACGATCACAAATGATTATCTGCGCTTCGGCCAGGAACATCGATAAATCATCATAAACCCTTCAAAAACCCAAACAGAAATGGTGCGAATACAAATCCAGAAATGAATTCGAGCAAAATATAAAAAATAAAATAAAAAAAAAAAACATTATCTTTCCATAAAAATTCATCATAAATTAAAATCCCTTCAACTACCTCCGACGAAGAGCGAAGCTATGCCTCTGCAAGAAATGAAAACCACCGGTAATAGAGAAGACGGCGAGGCGAGGCTAGGATTGGATAGATGAGTTGAAAACATGAGTTTTTTTGACAATGCCCTGATGGCTGCCATGGATAATCGGAAACCCTGAAGAGTGCCTAGTAGTAGTAGGGCTCTCTTTTCTCTTTTATTTGAGACACAGCAACACAAGGTGAGGACAGAGGCCAGTGATGGCGGGCGGCTTTCGGACGGGTTTAGAGTGTATTATTTCGAGGGTTTAGATTTTTTGATTAAAATTTGAACATGTAAAATTAATTTTTTTAATATAATATAAAAAAGTAAAATATAAATATTTGATTTGAGTTGATATATATATTTTTTTTTAATGAATAATCAGGATCTATTATAATGAAAAGTTTGAATTTCTAACAATTTTAATTTTTTTTAAAATAAATTTGATTGGTTAATATATCTAATTGACTATTCTGTTTAATTTATAAGACTTTTAATTTAATATTAATTATAAATAAAAAAATTCTCTCTCAAACACTAATTTAAAAAACTCTCTTCCAAATCCTAATTTGTTCTCACAATCGTCGTCCCTCCCAAAATTCTCTCCCAAAACTCTTACGTCTTTTATCTTCAGATTTTGCCATTCCGCCGCAGCTACACCATACTCCAAAGTCTCATCTTGCACCACCCCATTCAAAACACTGGTAAGATTTATTTACATTTTATCTCTTTATTTTATTTTTTTAAATTTATTTTTTATTCTCTCTAATATATATTTGCAGATCCGCAGGCGCTCCACCACCATCGATTCATATCTCCCTACACGCCACTCCACCCCTCACGGTTTTGAAGCTCTATCGCTGTTGCTTGATGGAATTACGGGTAAATTTTTTTTTTTGTTTTTTCTTTTTTAATCTTAATTTTTTTTGCTCTTCTCATTCTTTGTTTTTAAGATTTGTTTTTTTGTTATTCTCTTTATTTTTTTATTTTTTTTAATGTAGATCTACTTCCACACATGTAAAAAAAAATGAGTTTATACAATATTATTTTGTTCTTCTCATTCTTTGTTTTTCTTTATTTTTTTCTTTGAGCCTTTGTCTGGGGGTGCCAAAATGTGTCATTGTCCTTTTTGACCTGAAACTATGATGTCCAACCCTGTTGTGTTGTGTAGAACGGCACGGATGAATGGTGCCCATTGTTTAATTGTGGATACGGGAGAAAGGTATTTTTTTTTAAATATAAAATTATAATTACAATGTAATTAAAATAGATTGAGTATCAATTTTTTGTATATAGTTGTTAGAAAAAAATTAATACGTAAATTATAATATTAACTTATATATTTTTTATATAATTAAATATGTTTATGTTATATAATTTGATTCTAATAATTATATAATCTATTTTGTTATAAATATTTTAATATAGATACAAAAGAGTAAGTAAATTAAATTATGTATTAATTAAACAATATATTATAAATACTTCCTTCGTCCCATAAGAAAGTATCCATTTTTTCATTTTAATCCGTCCCCATAACAAAGTATCCATTTCCTTTTTTAGTAACTGTACTATCTACCTAACATTACAAATACCCTTACAACTCACAATATATTACACAAATGTCATTACCTTTATATCACATACTAATAAGATTATTTTAGTCATTTCTACTTTATTTCTATTATATTCCAATATAATATTAATATTTCTAAAACTACGTGCAAAAAGCAAATGGATATTTAGTTCCGGGACGGAGGGAGTATAAATAAAAATAATGATAAGTTGTTAAAGAAGTTATAGATTTTTCTATAATTATTATTATTTTTTAAAAAAGTTGAACACTTTATTTTTATTTTTAAAAATACAAGTTTCATATTGAAGATGGAGAGTTTTTTTTTTTTTTTAATAATAATTACTTATTAAAAAGTTCTAATAATTAATTTTAATTCTAATTCATTTTAAAGTTGAGAAATTCTAGTTCATTTTTATAATAATTTGATTCTAATAATTATATTATCTATTTTGTTATAAATATTTTAATATAGATATAAAAAAATAAATAAATTAAATTATGTATTAATTAAAAAATACATTATAAATATAAATAAAAATAATGATAAATTGCTAAAGAAGATATAGATCTACAATCATTACTTTTTTTTTGAAAAGTTGAACACTTTATTTTTATTTTTAAAATACAACTCATGTTGAAGATGTAGAGGTTATATATATATAATAATTACTTATTAAAAATTTATAATAATTAATTTTAATTCTAATTTATTTTAAAGTTGAAAAACTCTAATTCATTTTTATAATAATTTGATTCTAATAATTATATTATCTATTTTGTTATAAATATTTTAATATAGATACAAAAGAGTAAATAAATTAAATTATATATTAATTAAACAATATATTATAAATATAAATATAAATAATGATAAATTGTTAAAGAAGATATAGATTTTTCTATAACCATTACTTTTTCTAAACAGTTGAACACTTTATTTTTATTTTTAAAAATACAAGTCTCATGTTGAAGATGAAGAGATTTTTTTTATATAATAATTACTTACTGAAAAGTTATAATAATTATTTTTTTATAATTTTTTAAATAAAAGGAGCTGTAGAGTTTTTCTTTGCATTCAATATTATTTAAACATCTTTTATCTTCTATGTTTCTGCATTATCTTCTTTCTACTAAAAAAAATCTATAATTCTCACATATTTTTCTACATCTCACCGTATCATACAATTCTTACATAACATCATACACATTCTCTTCTTCTCTTATCTAAAATCATCATCTACACAGTGTTCCTGCATAATTTCACCTTCCAAAGGTTTACATTTATAATTATATTAGTGTTTGATTATTACACTATTTGGACAATAATCATAGTCCTTAATTTTGTTCTTCTGAAGTATTTTTTTGCATTCAATATTATTTAAACATCTCATTTTAATTTTTCACCTTCATTTATGTTTTCATGCTTTTGTCTTCATCTTCTCTTTTTCTGCATTCTTTTTTTTGTACTAAAAAAAATTCTAATTTTCACATACTTTTCTTTCATACTTGAATGACACTACATCTCACCATGTCATACAATTCTTACATAACATCAGACACTTTTTTTTTTCTCTTATCTAAAATTATCCTCTACACAGGATTCCTGCACAACCAATTGTTACAACTCTAACAATAAGTCAATAGATTTATTAGACCAGTGGCACAAAACCTTCAAGTGCAAAAGGCGAGCGATAAACGAGAGTCTGCTCATTTTTTTTTTCACCCTGGTATAAGCTCTTTCTCTACATCTTCTAACATTTTTCTATACCCCTTACTGTGTATATGCTCATCCTCCTTATCATTAAGAGGTTCGGTGTTACAGGGCCCCGGCCAGGTGTCCTCTGCTATTGCGCACTCTTCCAACAGAAAATCTAGTTCATCGTCCTAACGCATTGGAACATTGTCTTCTGCAGCCGCATAGTTCACCTCTCCTTCCCCATGACAAGTCCAGACCTTGTAGGATTGGTCGAATCCATAACGAATACAATTGAGCAAGATATCCCTACTAGATTTTGTTATGCGATTTTCACAGGACGTACATGGACAATAGATGGAAGCATTAGAGTTCCTATCTTTGAAAGCAAAATCTAAGAAAGCCCTGACCCCATCCAAATATTGAGTGGAGATATGGTTCGCATCGTCTATCCAACTCTTATCCATCTAAAAAGGCAATATACATGTGATTCCATCAATATAACATGAATTCAAACTCGTCTATGTTTAACTCTTGATACGGGCGTGCACCCTCAATTTAAAAGAACAAAGTTATAGCATCGGATTTAAGAAACTGCATTTTGGTACCTATAAGTCCATGTACTGCACTTATAAGTAAAACATAACATTCATCACAACATTAAGGCTCGTGGTTTAAAATCAACCATTTTCTCCACTTCAGAACCTTTTATGGATGCAATTTAATGAGAATTGAATGATTTCTACGCTCCGCAAAAAATTCTGATCCGTCATCTCTAGATACTAGAGCAGCAAGAATTATCCATACCCTACTTGTGTCAAGAAAAATTTCTAAATATTCTAAATTTTTCCTTGCCCTTTTGTACGAATATGAAAAAAATCCTCAAATATGATGTCCAAAGAATATTTCAGGTTTGTGGGAATGCACACAACACTTAACTACACCACCACCCGAGAAAACATAGACCACTTAAAAGCTTTGCACAGTGGAAATGCATTAAAAAGAAATCAGACCTTCCGTTAAACTAAAGTATGCTTATCATGAATTCACATTGCACGTCTTTGTCTCCACAATTTAGTATCCTGTAAAAAAAAAAAAAAAGAATACATGATAAATATGCACTCATTTTCAGTAAAAATAGCACAAACTACTACAAAAGTTAAACACGCACTACGTTGTAATATCCATTCTTTATTGTAGGATTGAATTGGTACATATATATCATTTTTAGTATAACATGTTGATGAAGGAACTGAAACTGCAACATAAGCCTTTGAATTAGTTCTTTTATTAATTAATCATTGTTTCCCCTATAAATTCTAGGATCTCGACACTATGTGAAATTAACACACATACTAAAACCATGCTGCATATTTTTTCCCCGGGTATACATTGTTTCATATTAGGAACGAGGTTATTCACATTGTTTAGAAACAAATGACATTTATGTCTATGCAAGACACATATTGTGTATTCATAACTAACACAAAATCTTCACAATATAAAGGGAAAACCGACGTTGTATACCTCCTTAACAGGAGTAACAAATATAAAAAACATGGCCAAATACTTTTTGATAGTCGCAAATCTTTCTTATGAAACCAGCAAAGATGTACTATTACATAAAATGTGTGTCGGGTCTCATACCAACTGTTTATTTAAATTTGAGATCAAAATCAGCTTTGATGTATTCATTTCCACCCTGATTTTAGGTGTTTTGTATGTTTAAAATCATCATTATCATGTTCGTCATCTAAACTCTATCCTAACTAGTCGTGGCTCTATTTAAGTCTAAGATACAAGGATTAAATACATTATACAACATAGTGTTAGTTTTTTCAACCATATAGATGTTTGCAAATAAACAATGAGATACTTGAAGCCCATAATCATGCAGGATTTAGATAAGATGACCTCCAGTTTTACAAGGTATTCAGAATTTTCTGCAGCTAGAAGATA